CTCTGTACATGCCACTGCCTGGTCCAGTAATATCTAGAGGAGTGTACTTGGGGAAGTAGGGGACTGTTAGGTACTTCTGAGATCAGAGAAGATTAGCAGACAGAACAAGCAGGGAGTTGGAAATTCTTCTATGGCTCACCTTTTGAGATAAGTCCAAATAGATTCTGGGGCTTTAAAACCTTTGCCTTTGCTAGATATGGGCATGTAAGAGTCCCTGCAGTTTACTTCCAAGCCTAAGTCAGGAAAAAATTGCCAGTACAAAACTAAGCAAATGCAAGCGTTTTGAAGTGCTAGAGACACATTGTCATGCTCCCAACACTCAGGCTACAAAAAAGATGCCCCAAGAGACAAAGAAAGAGCCAACACCCATAAGATATTTCAAATTGCCTAGACCTTTTTCTACTTCTGGCTTACCTTCATTGCAGAAAATTGTTCAAAGCCAACAGAATGGAATGAACTAATGAATTTACAAAAATAACAGTTCCATTTTCTCTCTGGGAGAAAGGACAAGCATGGTGGCAAGCTGTGCAGAAAGCTCTATTGCCTTGGAGACCGCCATTACTCAACAATGGGAATGACATGGCAGGCATAGCATGTTTTAAAAAGCTGCAAGTTACAGGAAGCACAAACAGTGGGAAGGAAGCAGAAAAATGGGCCGGGGAGGGGGATGAGAAAGTTGATTATGATTTCATGCATGTTTCACAGATTAACTGAACAAGGGAAACAGCCAAGGCAGCTAAAGAGACAGGAAAGGGCAGAAAAGCAACTGAAGAGATCATGGCATGATGGCTCATGAGTCAGCACAGAGCCATTGCCCTTTTTATGCTCTCTCTTCTGTCCGCATTCAGGAGAACTGGACCATGTATGCAGATTTTGGCTTGTTCTTTGTTTCAAGATGTTGGTTCACTTTATGTTTGCACAAGAGGAGAGTGTCCCAGCCTCAAGGAGTTGACATTCTAAAACGTGAGGCAGGGTAAACAACAGAGAAAGAGGAGAAAAATAGAGGGAGAAACTGTCATTGTTTCCTTATCTTTCTCTGAACTGCCATCAGTTAAGCAGTCATCCCAGATGATTGCAGCAAAGAGAAAGCTGGGATAATAAGGAGCACTCAGTTCATTTTGCAACTTTCCTCCCTGAACTGTTTCCATCCCAAAACAACTGAGTTTGATCTTTTCCTATGCCATTTCCATTCTTTACCCTTTTGTGTCATGGTATTTAGATTGTCAGCTTGTAGGCAGGGACTGTGTACTGTACTCAGTAAATTGAAGACATTTAGTAGGACACTAAAATAAAACAATAATGGCAGCCTACTAATGAAAATGTTTTCACCCACAAAATCCCTTGCTTGAAGTCAAGGGCATATCTGGAATTTAAGGAATAAAATCCTCTTTGTAGGCAAATTCCCAGTCTTCTAAAAAAAACAAAAAACGAAACAAAACCCAGAATTTCCTTCCATGTCCATGGTGTATATCAGCAGAGGGGTATGTTCATCCATTGGAATTTAAATGTTAAAAGGTTTAGCCAAAATTGAGTTTAGGCCAAGTTATTGCAAACAAGTTATGTCAACACCATATGTAAAAGAACTTTAGCCTTCTTACAAAAAACAGTCTGGGCTTACATAATTCAACACATAATAAATAATTCAAACCCTCTATCTCTTCATTCTCCCCTTCCCCAAATATACAGCTTTTTCTTCCTTGTTGCTTAGAGCATCACTTCATCTCCTTTATTCAAAAATCCAAAGTTTGAAAATTTTGTGCAAATGCAATCCCATTATCTGGTGCATCACTCCAGAACAGTGATAAAAACCTGCCTCTTAAATCTCAGCAGGATCCTTTCAGCTGTTAAATAGCTTTTCAAGCTCAGATATCAACAAGCTCTTCACTGAACAGTTTAACTGTATCTACTCAAAATAAATCCCTCAAAATATGTTTTCAGTACAAATAAATGTGAGTAAAACTAACTTTATTGGATTTAGTGTCCTTATTTTATTGGATTAAGGTGAAAACCTCCTTGGTTTCTATCTTAATATATGTCCACATATCTATAAAGATCAATCTACTTCTTCATTCGGGCTTCAGTAACTAGTTTTAGTAAGAGTTATTCAGTAGAAAAGAATGTGGCAAAAATACACAGAATATGGCTTGTGTGAATAGGAAAGGAAGGGAAAATTGCCTACCACAGTAGGACACAGTAGTAATCTTATACTTCAGTTATTATGGCTGTGTCTCATAAAAGAATCCATCCATTGGGACTATTTTGCAACTCACGTCCATCTCGGTCCCACCTGCTAGTTCAACATGACCCATGCCAAAAATAGACAAACACCTTTGTACCTCTCAGTAATACCAATTGCACAGAAAAGATCCAAGCATCAGACAGGCAATACCCAATACAGCTGCTGCATCTCTGCTCAGTCTGTTGCGCTAGAAGGCACACCGCTAGCGCAACAGCAACCTGGTGTTTCCTACCGCATCTGCTGAAACACTCCTTTCCAGAACAAAGCAGGTAAATGAGCTCAGACCTTTCAAACATTGTATGAATTTGCCAGTAGAGATTTAAAGCAGCACTGAATGTTGGAATTTTTAATGGACAGTGCTTAAGCAGAGTGCTAAGAACTGTGATACTGGTCACCAATTATATTATAAACCTAAGGATGTGAGAGCCTTGAGAAAGAACACAAAAACACAGGAAAAACAATTAGGAGGAAATGGAAAAATTGAAGACATTTTCCTTTCCCTCACTTTGGGGAAAATACAGTTCTACTGGATTTTTCAAGTTTTCCTGTGTTTTCCAGATTTTTTTCTAGGTCTTGACATCTCTTCAAATAGCCATTAAATTGCACATGACAACTAGGATGGCCTTTGATGTGCTGGACATGTATCAGATTTTCTCAGGTACTAAGTATATTGCTTTGTCCTGACTATGCTAAAAACCAAAAATGTATGTTTTTAAAACATAGAAGAATTGGTTGTACAGAAATGTCCTAATTTAGAGCTATTACTAGGCAGACCTACAGTTCCTGAAAAACATCAGGCTCATTTTATACCATCATGGTGGGAAAGAGAAATTCTGACTTGGTTGAAAGCTACACACAGCAACGATTCTCACTGAGTGATCTTAGGAGGGAAAAAACCTAATTACCAGAATTTTGTGAGGGAAAAAGTCACAGGGACAAATGTGTGCTAGGCAAAAAATGGACATAAACATAACAGCAATACAAATGCATTTGAATAGAAGGAATGTCACACCTATGCAAAAGCAGAAACATGGGGTTTCAAATCTATGTTAAAACTTCAAGGCTCAACCACAAATATTCAAAGAATATTCCCCACCATTAAACAAAATTATTTCAGAACTACATCAGTGCAATAATAAAAGTAACAATACCATTGCTTGGAACATTGTCCCCCACCCCACCCCCCACACCAGTGAAAAGCCCTGCCACTCTGGGAAAAGGAAGCAGTGAGACAACACAGAACTGCCATCACTTGCTGGAATAAAAACAGACTGAAGGCAATGGGAACAGAAGCAACACCTTAATGAAACTTCAGCTTGGAAAAGAAGAATATGCTACCCCAGAGCAATGCTACATATCCAGCAGGGTAGACACAGGACTAATGTAACCCACATTTTATTATTTTATGTATGCCACCTCCAGCTTGAAAGCATAAATAAATAATATACAAGGTTAAGGCATAAGCCTAAGGAATTTTTTCCTTCGTGTGCTCTATATCACAAAGAAATAAAAGGACTTCAGACGTAACCGTAAGAATTATGGAAGCAATATATTTAAATATAATAAGCAACCAGTCACTAAGCAATTAGTATGTTGCAATTAGAATGTTTGGAGGGAAAATATTGTTTTTAAATACATGCATTTAATCCATTAAGTCACTAGTGAACCATAAATATAATATGCTAAAATAAATGTTCAGTAAAACAATCTATGTTCCTTCCTAACAGAAGGAATTTTGGAGAGAAAAAGCTTATGGCCCCTGGAAAGCAACTTAGAATGGTTTGAACTTCAAAAGCCAAAGTCAGGGACAACACTCCAGCATCAGAGCTCCAATTCTTTTCCTCTGTCCAGAAAGCAAACTCAGAGAGGGGTAAAAGTTACCCCTGCAACCACTTCAGCCTTCTTCCTTGCCCCCTCAAGACACTGCAGCTAGATGGGTTAAAAAGCCCAGCTAGTGGAAAATGCAGGGAAGATTCCCTCCGCTGCACTTCCTGATCTGAGTTTAGGGCCTTACAGACCACAACAGAACTATACCCTTAATTTTGCATGTTCTTCCAGTGGTATCTAAACTGACCTTAAATTTTGCCTTCATTTTGAGCTTTATTCTGGCCATTCAATTCACACTGCATTATGCAGAGGTAGTTTACAGAAGTGTGTAAGCAACAATTTCTTAGCAAAATGTAATGAATACAAATGGTAATTTAAAACATTGTAAATTTAGTAAATGCAGAAGAAATAATTATGCTTCTGAAAGAACAGAAATTCAATTCATCAATGCAACTGTGGTGGTGATGGTGGCAGTAATCTTATACTACGAAGACATGTGCTACTAATTTGTATGCTTGACTGATGGAACATTTTGAACTATGCTACATGCATGTGAATGAAAAGAATGGCATGTACCAATTAATAGGATACACTTTCCCAGAGAGACATTCCATTTCAAAAGGTAAGACTCAGGAAGCTGCTCTACCTTGAAATTAAAGGCTTACCTATAAATTATTCTTATACGAATGTATTAATTACTTCAACATGAAAAGTCCTATACAGAGCTGCATATATTATAAAGGTTAGAATCCATATGTTTCAGTTTCAAGTCTAAAGTTGGTGTACCAGCTCATCATATATAACCTGAACTACTCAAAATGTTTAGATAATTATTTACAAAAGAATTTTGGATACATCACTTCTTTTTCTAAGTGAAACGATGTATTCTTTAAAAAAAAATGAGCTCTAGTCAAAATGGAAAGTTATGTCTTACCTAGACTGAATTCTAATTTTGGTTCTATGACACTCCTCTTAAGACCTGCTGGTAAAAGAGTATTTATTTAGTTAGCACAGTAATCATTCACGCATGGAAAAACATATTTAATATTGTACCGATTCTGTCACAGAGAAAGCTGGCTTATTCAAGAGAAGCCAGAATGCAAGCTGCCAATCAATCATACTGCCAATCCCTTTATCTATACTTGTATTTTATTTTTTGATTTTTAAAGTATGCATCTCTTTTTTAACACAGTGGGAACAATTGTATGGAACATTGAACCAGGAGTCCTCAATCATTTTGGACTGGTAGGCACATTTGAAAATTTGAGAGAGTAGGTGCCATGAAGAAGGCATGCTAATTCAGGAAAAAATGGCTGCCATGCTGCATGTGACCTGTCACAAAACACCCATTTCTTAGAAGGCAAACTAGTGATACGAAACCTAAATACAAAAGGAGACTGGAGGCTGAGTTACATAAGCCACAAACCATCTTTTTAAACTCACAGTTGTCTGTTCCTGTACCTTTTCACAGAAGGCAAACAACTGATGCTCAGAGCCTTAGCCAAAAAACTCAGAAAAAAGGAGAGGCAGAGAGCTGTGCACCAAATGCCAAGCTATGCTGAGGACCCTAATGCTAAACCACATGTTAACCCTATGTAGACAAGCAGAAAGAAGCCTGCACACTAAACCCTTCTCTCTTCCATGCAATTCAGGAAATAAACAAACCAAAATTAAATTTGGCTTTAGACCATACCTGTCTTTTTATTACATGTGGCTCAGGAATCATGGTTTAAGAAAACTCTAGTCACTTGTAAAACAAAGAAATACTATGCAATTTTGTTAGTTTGTTTAACACACTGAAGTTTATTTTAAAGCACAATTATATTGATTTATATCCCCCTCTTCAAATTCAGGAGAGACATGCCTTGCTTAAAATGGGATTGTCCCTCACACATAATTACACATAATTACACATAATTCCTAAGCAGGGTTTTTGGAATTTAAGGTGCTGGACAATAGTGTCTCCCTTCGCCTGCAATTCCCCATGGAAAGAAACCTTTGCTACAATAATTCAACTCTGAAATGTGTTTATCTACTCCTTCAACCCAGTCAGTTTACCTACTCATTCAATTCAGCTTAAAGAAGCCACCATGCCTTGTTTATGCTGACATTCATGATAGATGTGGCGGAAAAAATTCATGGCCTATTGTAGGATTATTTGAGGGCTGTGTCTCCATCAGGCATGACATGTCACTCTAAACGAAGTCCAACTGACTCTCATAATCGTACTTCTTTATATTAGAAGTCTTAACCTAGGCATATTTTGGAATTTGGATTATTTCCCCTGTAACAGCAGACTTCTCTGCCATGATCAACAGCTGCTTGTGAAAAGCCCTAGAATTGCAATGGAATGGAGGTGGCCCTGATGGGCACATGGACTGATTGTGCAGCTCTTTGAACTGAGCTACCTATCATTAGTCAGTGGTAAATGGTCTATTTAAGTTCCTTTCTACATGGCACTGCTTAATGATTCAAAAGCATGACCCACACAGTCCAATGGATGGAGCCATATGGGAAGCATTATGTAAGCCTGTCCCCCAACCCTTGCTCCCATCTCTAGGATGAAAAAGTATTTCCCCCCATGGTTTGTTAGTGGGGCACCATAGAGCACTTTGGACATTAAAAGTTCTATAGAAAATAATGAAAATATTGTCTGAACACAGCATCTTTTAAAAACCAGCAGGAGAAATTAATAGCTATGTATCTGCTCTTCCATAGGAAGCAACTTACATGTGTCAGATATAAACAATTAATGCAAATTACATCCTACAAGATTAACTTTATTAGATGTATAATCCACACTGGGCAATCACAGAAGAGTGGATTTTTTCCAGTAGCATTCACAGAGCTAAGATGTAAGAAATAGTAAGCTTACTTGTAATCTTAGGTTCTGCAAGATTGTCTGCCGGTGCTGATAGAAGAAATTGCTGCACTTCATCTGCTGTTTTCTCCTCCTTGATTTCCATGATCAGCCTCTGGAGCTGCTGAATTTTATTGCGCAGACCTTCAGAATTTGCCTTTCCAAGTGCCACTGCCCAGGATGCACAGTCAGATCTAGATGCAGCTTCGAGGTAAAGATCTGGTTCTCCACTCTGAAACTCTGCACTCAGAAAACATTGGCACAGTTTCATTAAGCCAGACATTAATAGATGTGTTTTTGAAAATCATGGCAAGACGGATGCTTGCAGCAATACAGAATATCACACAGTCTCTTTGCCACAGAAACATATGAAACCAAGCTGCTCTTGTTCCACGTTTGATGCAACGCAAAGCCCTCACTGCTCAGCTAGAGTAATTAATGTATCCCCAAACTAGGTGGCAGTATCTTTCAGCTGAAATGAGAAATCCCCATTTGGCACATATTTGGCATCTCTGCAGACAGCTTTCAGTGCTACTAACTTAAGTAAGAATTTGATTTAACAGAGTCGACAGGCAGCATGCTGACAAATGGAGTGGTGGGATTCATTAGAGCAAAAAGTATTCATTATTCCTTTTATTAGAATTGCCCTTTACACTCAGCTCCCCAGTTGCTCTTGTCAAAATACTGTTCATCAATATCTGGCAATAATTTAGCATGACATGGCTTCTTCATGATGAAACAACAGGTTGTATGGAGAAGCTTCTGACCTCCTTCCTACCCATGAGGCTGCTACTGGGCTGCCTGATAAAAGTCCAATGTCCTCCGGGAAATTCAAGTAACAACAAGGGTCACCCATTTGATTGGAATTCACAAAGGAATCAGTCTCTTCAAGGTATTTAAAATTCTGCCATATAGACAGTTTCATTTAGTTGCAAATTCAGCTTGACATTTAACACAGTATAAATGATCAGGCACGAACTAAGCAAGGGGGCCAGGAGAAGTGAATCAATGACACTTTAACACAAGACACCAAATGATGATATATCTGAAGGAACAGAACTGGTGGTTGCCTGGTTTTGAAGCTAAATGTTGACAACCAGCAATATAAAAGTCAATAATCAACACTGGGTAGTAGCCAATACTGCCACTGTGGTGCTGTTTCTGTTAAACTTGCTGGATTCACTGTGAGCACAATAGGAACTACTATTCCCAACAACAACCCCACAAATCAGCAGATTCACTTTGTTTCCCGAGTGGGACAGTTCGGCAGAGGACCTTTCTGAAAGCTCAGCTCACCTTCTTCATACCAGAAGTGAATGGTTCAGCTCCTTTCCAATTGCTGCAGGATCTGCTAGCTTCCAATTGCACAAACTGCTAGGTGGCCCTGCATCTCTGCAGGTAGGACTGAATACTGCCCATTGGGTTATATCCAATATTATTCTGATTTCAATTGTTCTTCCCTAAGTAGCACTAACATGGATTCAACCCATGATGTCGTACTCTCCCACCATTCCACTGCACTTGCAAGGTCCAACTTGGCAAGATAAAGCAGTCAGTCACATTTGTTTGTAGGCAGATCTGCCCCATTCACAGATAAAGCAAGAGGTGGGAGCCTCTTTTGCAAAGGCACAGCAAAGTGCAACCATAATGATCAAGGGGCTGAAGTAGCTTCCCTATGAGGTAAGGGTATAACACTTGGGACTGCTTAGCTTATAATGGTTAAGCAAAGGAACTTAGCATTATGCACAATGTGGAAAGTGGATAAGAAGATATTTTTCTTCCTATCTCATAATACTAGAACATGGGGTCATCCCAAGAAGCTGACTGGTGGAAGATTCATAGCAGATAAAAGGAAGCCCTTCCTCAAACAGCATAGAATCACACTATAAAATTCACCACCACAAAACAGAATGATGGACACCAACTTGGATAGATTCAAGAAGAGGTTAGACAAATTCATTAAGGATAATGTTCAATTACTGCTTGTCAGAACAACTATATGCTCCCTCTAGGATCAGAGGCAGTATGTCTCTGTACACAGGTGCAGGGGGATGCACATGGAAGTCTACTACTGCACTCTTCTTGAATTTTGTGGCAGCACTTTGAACTAGGTCTGATTAATGTGGCTGTTCTTACATTCTCATGAAGGAGTGTAGTGGGTAGAAAAGGAAGCAAGGCTCACCCCTGCCATAACTCCATCCTGCTGCACTGAATTGCTTGAAACAATATTCTTTCAGTTCCGGACTTGGACTTGTCTTGGGAGAAAACTTCTTGAAGCCATTAAAAACTGCAAAGTAGTAAAGGAAGGGTTGCAGCTTGTTTCCTTCTCCACCATGTTCCTTTTTGAATAAAAAATATTGCTGCCTTTTCCTGCATTATTAAGTTGCTGTCTACTACGTATTCTTTGGCTAAGAAATTGAATGCAGCCTAAGAAATGACTCCCAGAGAAGGGCTATTCAGTCCGCAGCAGATACTTTGCTTTGCAGTGGCTTCCACTGGGTTTCACAGGACAAAACAACATGCTGCAATATAAGGCACAGTTATGGTAAGGTGACCTGGGAAATCTACTTACTTATGACACCAGGGCACTTTGTCTGGTACAAGTGACTAGAAATATTCTTTAGTAGCTGACTTGTTCATATCTTGGCACCAACATCTTTCCAATGTCCAACAAAACATTTAAAGTAATACATTCAATCTTTGTGGGTATTCAAGAGAGAAGAGGTTGGATCCAGAGAAGTGTGCAGGGAACTCTGCTTGCAGAACAAGACTGCACTTCTGGTCATGCTGTCTTCCTTCTTAGATTCAATGTTGTTCTTCATCCACCCCAAAGAAAATAAGCCTCCTTGAAGCAACTGTTTGTTGTACTTAGTCATTGGCATATATTTGCAGCTTCTGACTAGTTCTAACCCCGTGTGTATTTTTCCTTAAGCGGAAAAGATGTCTACAGCAATTGAATGCTGACCTTTATATTATGTCTCAAAATTCAGCAGCAAGCAGACCTTTTCATACCCTCATGTGTCAGCAGCATACTAAATTAAACCTGAATAATCCCATTACCTTTATGGAGTACATAGTTAGGTCCCATATCTAGTTTGATGCAACAGAAATCAGTATATAAACCTTCAGCTTGGGTGTTATCCTTTAAAGAAATTATTTCCTGGAATTTCATCAAGACATTTTCTTTCCATTGCAGGCAGAACACAGAACCCTTTTGCTTATAGCATGTAGCTAATACATGCTATAAGCAAAGTTATTTTCACTGCCAACAGGAATCCAACAGGAATCTATTGTCTGTGAACTGAATCAGATGTTCAAATGCCATTTACTGAAAAATGTCAGCCACAATATGGTGTTTCGTGGCCTCAGTCAAGTTCAAAAAGATAGTTTATTAAAAACATATTCCATAATAATTAGTAGGCTTGCAAGAGAAGATCATCAATTCCCCTACACCTAGGAGCATTTCCTTCATATTTAAATCAAAGCACATTAATACTCCAGGAGAAAGCAGCTCAAACATGAATCATATTTGTAATAAATTATGAGAAAGTACAATTTCAAAATGCCTTTTGCTTTATACTTTCTCTAGCAGCAGAAAAAAATAAGATGAAAATAATTAAAATAGTGGCTAATATTCAGTAATCTATTTCAAAAACCAATCTTGTATAATAATTGTGGATGGCTTACAAACTGGCATTTATATCTATATTTGCTGAACAGCCAACTCTACATGAGCACTCATTTGGCAGGATGTTTCCAAAGCAAGAAAATCCATTTCAGTGTAAAAGCACACTTTGATTCCCTACCAAAAAGAGAACACAAGATCCATCCTTCTGTATGTTCCACAGTGGCTTTTCAGCAATAACTCCGAAAAAAGACACAAACTGAAATGAATTTTTTTTGAAAAAATAATGTTACATATAAACTAACCCTATGAATCTTTTGAATTGGCTTCACTGAATAATAAGGGTACACAAAGGAAAATCCCATATACAACCTTTTAGGTTCTGCATGAATTAGCCAAGATGGACTGGATCACAAGATATTGCTTTCAACATACAGGAGGTGTGCAACATTTATGTATCTCAAACTCAGTCTGTTTAACAAGCCAGATGAGCAAAAAGAAAACAAAAGTTATTTGTTCGCCTTATATTATTTCTCCCTGCTTCTCTTGGGGGGAGGGGTGTTAATATAAATGCGAAAGAATATGCTGTGCAATCTGTGAATGAATCGATCATAGATTGTGGCTGTGTTCTAATGCAGGACAAAGAGATTCAGTGTAAGCACTCTTCTGACAACTTACTCAGGCACCATATTCAACATATGAGACCTCCTCAGAATGCCACTTTCAAGGAAGGCTTGGTTGGGGGCAAGAGGAAAGAGGACTTTCCCTGTTGTAGCTCCTAAATTACAGAATTCTATCCCCACTGAGGAATGCATGGCACCAGCTTTATATCTTTTCAGAGCCGGGTTAAAGACTACCCTCTTTGCCAAGACATTTTCCAACTCAACTCCAAATAAAGCATGGTGGTGGGAAGTATGGCCATTGTTTTTAGAAGGCTTAGCCATATGGAGTCATCTTAAGTTATTTAAGTTGTTTACAGTCGGTTAAAAGTGCAATTTTTAAAGTCCCTATCTTCCTAGAGAATATATAGTTCTCTTAATATGATTGGTGATATAACTGCCATAATTATATGTAAATTTTTCCTGATGAAAAGTCAATCTGCCTAAAACACATTGCCTTCTTTAGTAACAATCGTTTTACTAAAATTGCTTCTTTAGTAACGGATTTGTTTATACGTCTTTTTATGCATGGCTTTTGCTTATATAAAATTATACTTAATGAATCAGATTAGACATGGTACTTAATCCTGGAATATTGAATCAGAGCCATTAAATTTCACATCAATTGCACTTTGGTAGTTGTCTCTTTACTGGACAGCATTATGCTTAAATATTGAAAGCATAAATTACAATGTTGTGGAGATAACAAAAAGAAGGGGAAGAAGCACTGATAATTTTTACTTACTAAGCACTACTGAAACATCTGCTTTATTCCTGAACTCCACGATACAGCACCGCTCCAGGATGACTAACTCAGAGGCTTCACAACTCTGTAAGGAGACAGAAACAACAAGGCATTCAGATTTGGAACCCTGAATCAACTGTGTCTGTTCATTCATGTTACGTACTTCCTTATCATTACAGTATACAGAAATACACTAGAAAATTTGAACAATTTTAATAAAGGAATTCACATTGTTTTCATCAGAATTTTATACACATTTGTCTAATAATGTGGCCGACTAGGCAACGTTACTACTGGTACGTACATGTTGGCCACCTAACAATGATCAGCAGTCAAATTTTGAAGGCCAGTGCCGAGCAACCCTTTGTTTTGCTTCAACTAATTCAATCTTCGAAATGCTATATAAAGTCCACATGGTAATAGCTTTGTAAATTCTCCAGCAGCGACAAGCACAACACGTGATTCTCATGTAGAATTTTTGTATCACTGATGCCACGGTTTGTGAGCATAAAGGCAAAGCTACAGTAAACTAAAATAGCTTTCATAATATGGTGCCACAGGAATGAACTATACAAACAAGAGGCATTCACAATCACTGGATTGTCCTGTATTTCTATGTCATTAGCCCTCCGCTTTGGTTAATCTTTAGCAGGCAGATGATTTCAGAAATTTGAAGTATTTATTGAGAAACCATGTGACTTCCTTTATCATGTGCAATCAAAAGTACTATGAAAGTGATAATTTATTATTTCAGGCAAAACGTTCTAAATAGCCCTGCCAGGGTGACTATGTCATCTGTTACAGTCTTCTGCTTGAACGGTTGTTCAGTCCAATTCCAGTTTAAAGATCAAGAATCACAGGTGTGATTTAGGAGGGTTCTGGAAGTTGTTGTTGATCATAAGCATTTAGATAACAGGCAGAGAGGTTGGTAGGTCAGTCTTCCCCAACTTCCCCAATAGATTTGTGTTTATAATACTTCCTAAATTTGCTTCTAAAATGCAATTTAGCATATACAAAATTCAAGCAACTCTATGTCCTCTTTTTGGATGATATGTATCTCCAAACACAAAATTACACACTTCTCTGAAAAACACACACATGCATGTATGCACACACGTGCGCAACAAACTAAAGAAAACATAAGTGACCTTTCATTGTTCATGACCTGCAACATGACCTAAAATATGAAGACAATTTCCAGAAGAGAACGTGAAAGTTACCCTAATTCAGTTCCTAGCAACAGGCAAGGCTATTAGCAGCCCTGCTGAGAAGCATCTTCAAACTTTATTTTGAATTATTTCTTGTCTCAAGAAGATTATCCTCACAATAAAGGTTCAAGTGCAGGTGAGAAAATAATCAAGCTAAGATTCTTCAACCTAAAGGAATCAATTGTCTGCCTGCTAACAGCTAAGCTATCAATCCATCACTTTCATTACAACTTTTATCAGCTCGTCATCTTAGAACATTAACTTGGATATTATTTCAGAAACATAAAACATCCCCAAGTAAAAGGGAAATCAATATACCTTAAGTGCTTAAAATCTAGGAACACCCAACCATTGCAAGTGATTGCTATTCAAATGCCACTGAAGGGTTTATAGCAGGGGTCTCAAACTCGCAGCCCGTGGGCCTATTGCGGCCCGTGGGATGATATTTTGTGGCCCCCACTTGATATCAAAGTTTAGTGATAGTGCGGCCCGCGTGTTTTTCTCACACGCACCTGCGTGAGTCATTACCCTGGGTGCAATGTTCCCTCTAAGCTGCGCACCGGGACGGGCGGGGCACGGGGGAGGGGCCCTGCGGCCTTCAAAGCGCCAGTGGCGCCCGGGCTGGCCTCCGGGAGCGATGCGGGATAGCGGTGGTGGTGGGCCGTCCTGGCACGCAGCTTAGAGGGAACATTGCCTGGGCGTTTTATATTTTTTGCCACCTGTGGGCTACCATAGCTCAGGATCGTGACAGCAACGCAAATTAACAATGTTAGTCACTTGAAACGTGATTCGGGAGTGTCACCGAGTGAAGGGAAAATATATCCTGTCACCCAATGCAAATACGTTTTTTTTGTCACCCAGCCCCAGTCATGTCTTTCTCAAAACCTGCCGTGAAGAGAAAGGTTGGCGATGAGTACAGACAATTTCAGGAGAAGTGGGAGATGGAATATTTTTTTGTTGAGCACAGGGGCATCCCGACGTGTCTTATATGCACAGAGAAAGTTGCGGTGCACAAGGAGTACAACATCAGATGTCATTACTCAACTAGACATGCTGAGGAGTATGCAAACTACCAGGAAGATGAGAGAGAGGACCGTGACGCCAAACTTAAAACATGTCTACTGAGGCAACAAGATTTTTTCAAGAAAGCAAGCAAAGAGAGTGATGCAGCAGTTGAAGCCAGCTACGTAGTGAGTGAGAAGATTGCTAAGGCAGGAAAGCCATTTAAAGACGGCGAGTTCATCAAAAAGTGCATGTTACAGGCTGCAAGCATAGTCTGTCCAGAAAAAAAGGGTCAGTTTAGCAACATCAGCCTCTCAGCCAACACAGTGGCGGAGCACATTTCTGACCTGTCAGGTAACATTTACGATCAACTGCATGAGAAAGCTAAACATTTTCATGCATACTCAGTCGCTCTTGATGAGAGCACAGACGTCACTGACACTGCGTAGCTCGCAATATATGTCCATGGTGTTGACGACAATTTTGAAGTGATGGAGGAGTTACTCACAGTGATTCCAATGCATGGCCAGACCACCACTCAGGAAATATTCCGCCAGCTGTGTGGTGCCATTGCAGATGTCAGCTTACTATGGAAGAGTTTTGCTGGAATAATAACCAACGGAGCGCCATCAATGACAGGGAGGAGCAATGGAGCCTTGGCACTTGTTCAAAGAAAATTGGAAGAAGAGGCTGTGGAAGAGGCCATTGCTCTGCACTGCATTATCCATCAGCAGGCCCTTTGCAGCAAACGCCTGAAGTTTGACAATGTGATGTCTGACGTTGTGAAATGCATCAACCATATCAGATCCAGGGGCTTAAAGCACCGGCAGTTCTGCGCCTTTTTAGAGGAAATAGAGTCAGCATATGAGGATGTGCTCTACTACACCGAGGTGCGTTGGCTTAGCAGGGGAAATGTCTTGAAGAGGTTTTTTGAGTTGAGAGCAGAGGTGAAAACTTTCATGGAGAAAGATGGGATGGCTGTTCTTGTACTAAGTGATTCCAAATGGCTCATGGACTTAGCTTTTCTTGTTGACATCACACAGGAGCTGAATGTACTGAACAAGAAATTACAAGGCCAGGGGCAGCTTGTCAGTGCTGCCTATGACAATGTCAGAGCATTCTCCACAAAACTTGTGTTATGGAAAGTCCAGCTTTCTCAGACAAACCTCTGCCATTTCCCAGCATGCAAGGCACTCATGGATTCTGGCACACCATTCAGCAGTGAGAAGTATGCTGATGCCTTTGTAAAGCTACAGGAAGAATTTGATCACAGGTTTGCAGATTTCAAGACACACAGAGACACTTTTCAAATTTTTGCTGACCCATTCTCCTTCGATGTGGAAGATGCCCCCCCACCCCCATGGAGCTAATTGACCTGCAGTGCAATTCTGAACTCAAAGCTAAGTTCAGGGAGGTGAGTAGAAAAGCAGACAAGCTTGGACAATTTTTGAGAGAATTGCCCCTTACCTTCCCTGAGCTTTCCAAGATGTTCAAGTGGACCATGTGCCTTTTTGGGAGCACCTATCTGTGTGAAAAGCTCTTCTCCACCATGAACTTTAATAAGTCAAAGTTCAGCTCCAAACTTACTGATGAGCATCTTCAAGCCATACTGAGGGTCTCAGTTGCTTCCTCCCTCAAGCCAAATGTGGCTCAGCTGTGTAAGAGGAAGCGCTGTCAGGTCTCTGGCAGCAAGGAGTAGGAGGAAGTAGGAGAAGCCTATGTTCTGAAGAAACGTTCATGTTCTGAATTATTATTAGTAAAGATTGAGAAGATTGGATCAGTTGTACTTTTTTTTGGAATACTTGATGCAGCCCAGCCTCACCCAGACTCTACTTCCAGCGGCCCCCAGGTAAGTTGAGTTTGAGACCCCTGGTTTATAGTATCAACATACTAAAAGCTAAAACATAATCACACAGAAAAGTATCTCAGAATAGAAACTAACAGCCTGACTTTACTTTATCCTGTGTTCTGCAAAATATGAGGATATTACTGTCTGTAGAGTGAAGGGCTAAAGGCCCATTGTTAAAAGCTGTTATCCATTCTTATAAAAATAAGATCAAATGCAGCCAATATTACAAAAATAAAGTCTATGTACAAACAGAAGCAGTGGGAATTCAAGTGTGAGTGCCAAATAAAGTGATATTACTATGGGTCATACCTGCTTTCTTCCTATAAACTTCCCTGACAGCAAATGATTCTAGCCCAACTAGGAATAATGTCTTAATTGTGCTGGGTCAGGCATAGTGCACCATTTGGCATTGCGCATCTGAAACCAATTCTTTCAGCTTAGCGATCCCCTCAAGAGCAAATGGAGGGTGATTCTTCCTTTCCCAAATGACTGTGAGGAGGAAAGAGTCAGGTAAAATGATTGCTATTACTCACTGACTAGGATTGCCTATTATTTAGCCCCTTACTATCAGCCTATATGATGCCAAGCGGAATAACAAAAACCGTTGGTCTCCTACCTGATGGGCTTAGAATCTAAGTTTTCCTGAAGCAAAGGGCAAATTCTAGTCAGGGGGGCATGTGAAGCATGGATCTTTTCTCTTTTGTAATGGTGCTCTTAGTTACTGTTTTGAGATGGCTGTGCGGTGTGTCACCTTACTAAAATTAGAAGAAGAGGAATCCAGGAATGTTCTGTATGAATTCTATTAAGGGCCTTCTACCTTTCCACTTCCACACAGAGTCAACAGTAAGGAGAAGTGAATATATGTGAGTGCAGCTGCACTCACATATAAATATTAAGATAAATAAAAAATAAATAAAACATTTAGTCTTTTTTTTTACAGTCAGGTATTGAATCAGGAATGAGGCTTCAGTGAGGCATGTAGAAGTGTTAAACAGTTGGTAACTGAAGAATATCAGCAAGAAGTAC